AATGAGTCAATCATCTAGAAAAGCTAAAGCTAAAGAGGTCAATATGTTGGAAGACGAGTATGGGAAGAAGGCTAGGGCTCTAGAGTCAAATAAGAAGGATTTGGAAAAGAGTAAATCCAAGGTGGGGAACATGTTGGACCATCTGTTTGAGCATCTGTGACTAGGAAGAATTCTTTGAAAAAGATGAATTCTTTGAAGAAGAGACCTGTTTAAACACATGATTATAACTCAAATGTTGATGACGAATGTGTTACTTTCATTGGATCAGGTGGTTGGTCTGCAGGTTAAATATTCAGGTTAAATTTTCCAACTATTTTTGTTCCTTTGGCCCTTGTATTTGGGTATGTTTTGTTTCCTTGTTATGGATATGTGATGGCTTGATAACCTTATGGTTTTTGTTACCAATAAAAAGATTAGATGTTCTGGAATTATGTTCAACATTTGTATTCATGGTTGATGTTTGTCTACTCATGACTAATACTTCACAGGCTGTGGTAATAGCTTTTCCAAATTGTGGGAAAATGGGGGAGTAGGAATTTGTTAGGAATATGTTCCTAACTAACTATGGTGTTATGATTGTATGCTCACATGCTAGAGCATCTGGCCTAACATCTGACTCTCAACTCTAGATGCCTTTATGAGCTGATATATTTGTGTGTTATGAGTGAATTGACTTTGTGTAGTGGGATGTTTTGGTGTGTGTTGACCTAAATAACTACTAACCATTATTAACCTTGTTTGTATGCATGCATGTGTGTTTGAATGGTTATGGGAGCATCATTGTGTGATCAATTGACTGATGTGTAGAAACCACTTGAACCTCTGATGTTTGCTACTGAATTCTGCTGCTGATGTATGTTATTCTTATTTTGTACTTTTGTTGTTGTTTCTGTTTGCTTTAACTGTTTGTTTATGATACTCAGTGTGAATTTCACATCTTGTAATTTGTGAAAGAGTTGTTTTGGCAAAAAATTTCAAAAAGGGGGTATTGTTGTTCCTTTTGGATTGGTTGCATTATGCACAACAACATGGAGTGTACAAGATGTTTTGATGAAGAAGAGACACATGTACGACATGATGTTCTAATAGGTGTGGCACATCTAGCCCCTATTGCAGTTTAAGCTTTGGCGCATTTTTTGTGTGATTTTTGAGTGTGCTTCTGGATTCGTGTGTCATTGACTTGTTGTTATCTTTCAACAATCTAAATACTTAGATTTGTTTGATAGTTTAATAATATCAAATGTAAAATATGGAGATTTAAATTTGAATTAAAATCAAATCAAATCTTTTAGTGGAAATGTTTTGGAAAAAAAATCTTAACAAAAAGTCTCCACCATATTTGGTGATTAAAATTAGAATGCCCATTAGAGAAAAGCCAAACTATAGATTGCTATTTAAAGATACTCATTCTAACATTGAAGACAATAAGCCTGCTTGAAGATTATTTATGTTAAGGTTTTATTTGAATCATTTATTTGTGTTGCTTGTATACCACGTTAGTGTCCACATTCAGATTATAAGGTATAATGTTAGTTTGTTTAGTTGAGTTGTAATTCAACATTCTTTAGGTTGTCTATTGAAGTTGATCAGTACGGTTAGTGATTGATAGAAAATGATAGAGGTTCTCATATTTAAGGGGAGTCCTAAGAGCAACTTTAACGCAGGGTTGTTAAACCAAAATTCTTTATATCTTACGTTAGTAATAAGGAATTTGCATTATAGGAGAGCTGACATGACATCCAAATGAACTAAAATTTAGTTCCCATTATCTATATAGTTAACGTTAACTATGTGAAACCTATTATAATATTATTTGATATTAATAAAATATTCCAAATATTCCAAAGGGTGTGATATTTGAAAATAGTAACGGTCATATTATCATTTTTTACCTTCTATAAATTCTATAGAAATTTTAATTTTTTTTACACACAATTTTACTTCTAAATTTTTTTTTTCAATTTCTAATCTTATTTATTTATCAAATGGATCTCAACCAATCGAATCCTTATTATAATTATATTCCTATGAAAATGTAATTTTTTTAATGTATTATTGTTGTGAATTTTGTATCATTTTTAATTTTATAATAAAATATATTTAATATTTTTTTAAGTTTTTAAGGTAAATTTTATTTAAAAAATTATATGTATTTTAATTAAAATAATTAAATTAATGGCAACTTGAATAAAAAATATAAAATGTGGGGTCAAGTTTTAGTTTCTTATAGACAACCACCATTAAAGTAAAAACTACTCAAATCAACTATAAATTTTTTAAATCCTACAAATCATTTTGGACCCACAAAAAGTATCTTAGTTTACCCATTTAATTTACTCTCACTAAAGATGCTATAAATAGAAAATCATTGGATAATATGAGGAAAAGGATATGAACAAGGCGTGTTCATGTAAGACTAAGTGTACTAATTCTAGTGATAGTGAATTTCCTTTTTTGGTTTTGAAGCCTCCAAAACGTAGGTGTTGTTTGCATCAAACTATATTAACAATTTTGTGTTCCATTATTACTTTTCTACTCCATCTTTATATAAGTTAAATTGTCACAAATTAGTTGTACATATTGTCTCAGATATCATGTATGTCTTTTTAAATTTATATAAATAAATATATATTTTTTAAATTTAATAGAAACACAATAAAAAATGAGAGAACAAGATTTTTAGAGTTTAAAAGAATTATGGGTTTGCTAAATACATTGTGAACAACTCGAGTAAAAATTATTAAAAAAAGATGATTTAATCTTTATCTATTAAATCAAAGAGTGAAATTCATTCTTGGTTGAGAGTGAGAGAGAAGAAAAAAAAACAGAAAATAAGGATTGTTCATCTTAGATAATTAAAATTAAATTCTTACTATAATTTTATATCTCTTGTAAACACTCGATGACAATGGATCAAAGAACTTCTCCTTTTCCACAAATATAGACTTTTTTTTTAGGTTGAACTGCATCAACAAACAACATTATTGTTCTCTTTATGATTTTTTTCAACTCTATTAGACATTCGTTCGACCAGTAAATCTACCAATTTTCATATTCATCATTTTGTGGGACTTTTGTATTACTTTTTCTGAGTTATTTCTAATATATATACTCCATCCATCTCTAATAATTTATAAGCAAAAAAACTAGCATACAATTGTGCCCCAATTTCTCAACAGCTTTTTTTCCCTCATTAAAAAACTAACATTCATGACCATCTACGATATCAATTTGATGATATAGCTCTTTCCAAAATACAACTCAAACAAAACTAATGTCCAACATAAGTATTTTGGTTATTAATTGAAATAATTGTAAAAAACCACTATTTTCTTAATAAATGAAAATAAACAACTACAAATATGATCTATCATATCATATCATTCAATTAATGTCAAATCTCATTTATTTTCGTATTACATTCTACTTGTTATCACACAACCTTAAAAGTTATTAGTTGGAAGTGATAAACAGTGCATAGGTAGTTAGGTACTGTTTGTCCGAACTCTGAACTCTGTCAATTGAAACGTTATCATAATAGGGATTTGTACTCTTCTATCCTATTGCTGAAATTTATATACCAACGTATTCTAATTTTAAAAAAAGTTCTAGCGTACTCTAAGTTTAGTACGTGTTCATCCACTAGAATGACGAGCAGATGAATACATCTCTATGAAGGTGTTCATCTATTGAATTAGTGAGCATCTTAGTATTTTAATGTTTTTTTTGTTTTTCAAATTTTTATTTTATATAATCTTGTATTTAATAATTTTTATTATTAAAAATATATTATATTAATTTAATAATTAAATACTAATTAAAAATAATTTTTTATTTAATATTAAAATTAAATGTAAAAATATATGAAGGAATAAAATTTATTCAAACAAAATTAAATGCAATAAATATTTTTGTATTGATTATTGACAAATAAAATATATTTCATCAAAAACAAGACTGCAATTTCAAATGCAGAGTTTCTTTGAGAAAAAAGAACTCAAAATAAAATATTGGTAAGTTGTATGGGCCTCACACATGCACTACCACGTCTATGGCACAAGACCATAGGAAGCTCGGTTCATAAATGATTAGCCACAACATTAGAGAACTTGTCAATAGTGACGCTTCACTTAAGGTGAAGGTGATCATTGCTCATATTCTTGAAAAATACAGGTACATAATATCTTATAGGAAAGCATGGATCGCAAAGTGTAAGGCCATATAGTCGCTGTACGAAAATTGGGAAACATCTTACAACGACCTGCCATAGTGGATATTGGTAATGAAAACCTATCTTTCTGGGACCATTATTGATTTGCAAACCCTACCTGCAATTTTAAATGATGGTTCCCAAATCTTTGGCAAACGAATCTTCCATCGTCTGTTTTGAGCATTTCGACTGTGTATACGTGGCTTCTCCTATTGTAAGTCTATTGTGCAAGTTGACGAAACGTGGTTGTATGGCAAGTACATAGGAACTCTGTTGATGGCGGTGGCACAGGATGAGAACGCAAACATTTTCTCAATAGCTTTCGCATTGGTCGAAGGTGAAACAAAGGAAGTCTGAAGCTTTTTCCTAAGGAACCTAAGGTTACACGTGACACCACAACCTAATTTGTGTCTAATCTCAGATAGACATGAATCGATAAAGAGTGCATATAACAATCTCAAAAACGGATGACAACATCCACTATCTTCACATGTCTACTGCATTAGACACATTGCACAAAACTTCATACGCGAGATTAAGGACAAGGAACTATGCAAAAAACTTATTAACATGGGTAACAAAATACATTTCAGTTACCTAAACTATTTTTTCATACTTTTACTATGTTTTTCATACCATTTCTATTACAGGTTACGCATTGACGAAGGCTACATTTAACTACTATCGCAGGAAAATTCGAAGAACAGACATTGGAGCCTCGCATTGAATAGACAACATACCTAGGGAGAAGTGGGCTAGAGCATATGGCGAAGGGCAATGTTGGGGACATATGACATCTAACTTGGCAGAAGCCATGAAATCTGTACTAAAGGCAACCCAAAACCTTACAATCACTGCATTGGTCCAGTCTACATACTATCGCATGGGTTCCCCCTTTGGTAAAAGAGGCCACAAGTGGACCAAAATGCTAGCTATCGACAAAGTTTTCATGGATGGTTGCAACAAGGGAATGGTTGATGAAGTAGCCAAGGTTAACAAACATAATGTCATGCAATTTGATCGCGAAAGATTCTTTTTCATGGTGCAGGAAAAAATTAATCAGGATAATGGTCGTCTGACAGATACTTTCAGCGTTGACCTGAGGAATCGTTGGTGTGACTGTGGAAAATTTCAGGCATTTCACTTACCTTACTCCCACATTATCGCAACATGTTCTAGTATACGTCAGGACTACTCCATTCATATTCCAGAAGTCTTCACAGTTCTTAATACATTCAAAGTCTACAAGGAAAGCTTCCTGGGACTATTCCCACGAGGAGAACTGACCAAAATATGAAGGATTTACTCTTTGCCACTACGATTCCATGAGAATAAATAAGAAGGGATATACAACCAGTAGTATAACCGAAATGGACGACATTGAAAATGAAAAGAGAAGGTGTGGGATTTGCAGAGAAATATGTCATATGCGTAGAAAATGTCCAAATGTTGTCGGCCCGTCAAAACGACCGTCTAGATAATTTTTTTTCAAGTTAATCAGTTAGTAAAGTTTTTACCTTGCACTTAATTTCTCTGCGATCCAACATTAATTTATAATTCAAGACAACTTTTACTAACAACTACGAAACAAAGACTCTGCTCATAAAACAACAAGACAATGAACATTTAAAAGATTCAATAAATCAGCAATACGAGGAGATTACAACCACCAGCTTAATTTCAGCTTGTCCATACATCATCTTGACACAATCATAATTGTTTTTTTACAGCTTTCCAAACCATGGCATCCCTCTCTTTAACAAGCCTTTCGATTCTTCTAATCTTTTCACCTTTTAACCACCTCACCAAACTTCTCTGAAAATGCTCGAACGTGATTGTGTTCCATAGTAGGATCTTCAATAGAGTTTTTATTGGTGAGAAAACCAGTAGAGCATCTCTTTTGGTAAAGGGAGTGTTTGAATTGGTAAAATACTTCATGGCCGGATCCATATTTTAGACTAAAAATAAAGAATTTGTGTACTAGATCTGAGATTCCAAGGTTACACACTAAGCTATTTATAAATAAAAAAAATAAATATTTCACTACTCGTCCAATGGATGGTCGAGCATCATCATGCCATAATTTATGTTTACTAAATAAAATTAAAACTCAAGAAGATAACATACAAGCTAATCAACAAAAACAACCAACACAAGTGGATCTTCGACTCATCTGTTAACTTTACCACTATGTGCTGAAAACATACATTGGACATTTTCATCATTTTCTATACGATCCAAGTAATGCAGGTACGTACCCTCCGGACTTGCATCAATCAGCGTTATATACGGACAACGATACTTCATTTTTCTCTTCTTCATGCGACAACCACCCAAGTGCCGAAAACTTGTGTTAATTGCTGCAACCGCGACTCTGAAATTTCACTGTGAATCTAGGTAAACACTGCTTTTTTTCTTGCCCATAGAATACAAGAGCTCGAACAAACATTTTTGATTTGTGTTGATGTGCATCAATCTATTTATAAAAAAAATATTACGTTTGAACTCGGTCATTCATTGACCGAGAATCTCTAAACACTCGGCAACTCATTGGACGAGTATCAATCATTTTTAAAAAATTATTAAAAAAAAAGTATTTTTTAAAATATTATTTAATTCATAAAATATATTTTTACTAATTAAAATTATTATTATCATTAATTAAACAATATAAAAATCTGAAAAATAAAAATAAAATTAAAAAACTAAGATATTCGTCAACATGTCATGCCTTCATCTGCTCGCCATTCCAATAGACGAGCATGTACTAAAATAAGGGTACTTTAAAAAAAAAATTTCAAACTAAAGTATAATGTATTAATTTCAGCAATAGGTAGAACAGAAAAAAAATCCATCATAATATCAATTCCGTTTCTTTTGACATTAAAAGGACAATATTAATATGTCCAATTGTATAACAGTCAACGAGACATTGATGTAACACATTAGTAACGTATGTCTAACTCAGCTTAGGTAAATGAGACAAATGAACCAAATTGATCAACATTGTATAAAGACAAATACTACTTTTAAAATATTAGTAAAACTAACAATTGAAATGATCAAGGATTAATTGATAATTTTGAGTATTAATCATGATTAATTAAGTATTCAGAAATGCTTCATATCTCTAGACGTCTCGAGTTGATCACGGTCTAACTAGAATGTAAGTTTGTTATCGTGTGTCTATGGATGGGGGTTCACTTGCTTTCAAATTGAGCTTTACTAGTTTAACTTTACTCATTTGAAATTTCACAACTTTTCATAGAATATAAAATTAACTAATTTTGGTAAAACAGATGAAGTCAAATAATTCAGCGTTGAACTGTGTGAAATTAACATTGAACATGGTAGTTTTGTGTTTAATCTTGTGTTGGGGTTTACTATAAAACTTGAATAAAAATAAGATGAACATGCGAACATGATTGTTGGGCAAAATAAATTACATGGCATGTGGATACACTAAGTTTTGGGGAATGTTCATACATGCATTCTACACCTTTTAAAATAAATTACATGTGGATACACTAAGTTTTGGGGGAATGTGGTGTATTCTGCCCTTTCAAATTCAAAAATGCTCTTTAAATGTTCGGAAATTTTTTCTTAGATGCACTCAAAATCATACAAAACTTTGTATTTTTCTAAAATTCATCTCATATTAAATAAAATATAGTTTAAAAATATATCTCCATATATTATTTGAGTGTATTCGAAAATACAGAACCGAGCCAAGATAATTGGAAGCTTAAGACAAAATTTAAATAAAATATTTTTAAAAATAAAAATATATATTATAAAAACTGATATTAATTTATAATTAAAAAATTAATAATTAAGTTCTTAAATTATTATTATTTTCTTTAATTTATTTTTTAAATAATATAAAATTTAGTAATAAACTCTAAAACATATGAATTCTATCAATTTAATCTTTATATTAAATTAAAAAAATAATGTTACTTTTTAACATCTTAATAGCATCAATTAAATTTACTAATTTTACATACTTTATCAACTACTTAAATACTTGTTATATTTATATAATTTAAAATAAAATTTAAAAAAATATTATTTTATAAACTTAGTTTATGATTATTCATTAATAATATTTAATTTTATTGCAATAGTATATTTTAATCAATTTTTTTAGACTAGAAAAGAGTAGATAACTAATTAAGATCAAAATCGTATATATAATTTTTTTCAAATAAAACATTAGACAATTTCACGCATATAGTAGTTTTTTTATTAATAAATCATAATTATAAAATTTTGAAAATAAATCATTAATTATAGATTTAGCCAACTATATATATATTTTCAAATAAAATAATTAATTAAATGCAGCTATTCAATATTAATTATAGTTTTTATTAAAAAGTTATAATTATAGAATTTTAATAATAAATCATTAAATATATGAATAATTATAGGATGAGTGTTTTGTTGGACCAAACTTGATAATTTGTTAAACTATAATTATTATTATAAATATAATAATTAATATAATTTTTCTTTAATGAACATAGATTAGCTAAACTATGTTTGAAATGCTAGGTTGAAACCTTACACATTTACTTTCTAGGTTTATATATATATATATATATATATATATATATATATATATATATATATATATATATATATATATATATATATATATATATATATATATATATATATATATATATATATATATATATATATATATATATATATATATATATATATATATATATATATATATATATATATATATATATATATATATATATATATATATATATATATATATATATATATATATATATATATATATATATATATATATATATATATATATATATATATATATATATATATATATATATATATATATATATAGCTTAAGAAAGTGAGGCCTAAAGCCCTTGCCTCACTTGCCTTAGCTTTGGACCAGTTTTGCGGAGATACATTTCCGTATATTATTTGAGTGTATTCGGAGATGTATCTTTAAAATATCAACGGAACTCTTTTAAGAGATATTGGAAGTGTGTTAATGGAAAGAAGGATTATTTTCGGAGATGCATCTCCGGAAACCTTCCTGAATCATTTCAGAGGAGTAAGATTGTCTAAACATTGTAACTTTTATGGCCAAGTTATATTAAAGTAAAATTAAACTAAAGTCAAGTTTCACTAAAGTTAAATTAAAATAAAAAAGTCGTACATTAACTCAAAAAGTCAACACCATACATAGTATTTGTCCGAAAATACAAAAAAATAAATACATCCAAACATAAACTGTTGGGTTTGTTGAACCCCCCGCCTTTTCCTCTTCCATCTGTACTGCACGAAATTTCGTAACTCGACAACCATGTTCACCACGACGGCCAACCAAGGACTACCATCCTCAAAGAGTCATGCCTCTGTGCATGCTCTACTCATCTCCTAAACCACGCCGACAGGCCGTCATCACGTCCTCAGTGTGGTAATCCTGAGCCTAAGTACCTCCTAGTTAGCTAGTCTAGGTGGTCTTTCAAGAGTGTTTGGTGTCATGATAGAGTGTGACACTCTATAGAACCATTTCATATAGTCGTCCGCATAGGCCTATTGTATATGAGCTAGTACCCTGCGATACTCCTCTGGTACCAAGTGAGTCTAAAAATCGTCAAGTATCGCATCAAGATCTCGGCGGCACACAGTGGGATGAGTGGACTCATAGGGGGGTCTCAGAATAATTTGCAGATAGCCAGACTGCAACATCACTTGTATGAGAAGATAAAGATACATAAGAGATGACCCATATGCTAGCCACCCGAAGTATAAGGATATGCCATCAAATTGACGCGTCTCGCGATGACCACAGTATAGGCAGAAGAAAATGTTATCTATCACAAGACGATCAAGATGCACTTTGAATGGATCGACCAGATTATTTCCCATGTACGAAATATATGCGGCAACTCGAGGCCAATCCTCTATGTAGGCAGGCGCAACTTCAAATCCGGTGATGCGAGGGAAGTAGGAGATGACCCATCCCTGAAAATGGTTCAGGTACAATATTAATAACAAGTGTAACAAATGAATTATAAAAATATTAGTAATAGTAAATTATTGTATGCAGCGTGCAACTCACTAAAATCTGCTTTGTCTTCTAAAGACAACCAATACCAACTTCAAGTATATGTAGATCTAACTGGCGCTCCCTATTCGTACTTGTGAATCGCAGTCAAGTTGATGAAATATTAAAGATAGAATACTTTGATATAGGTTGTACTTTTGTTCACAAAAATGGACATGCAAACCAAGAACAAGATG